TTTTTTTTTTTTTTTTTTTTTTTTTTTTCTCAAGTTTTATTTAGGTTTTCACTTAAGGAAAGATTTCTCTAGTTTATCACCTGGCAATAGTACTGTAATTTTAGTGATCTTAAATGAAAGATCAACTTTTTGATCTATGTTAAATAAGGAAGAAAATAATGCCTGAAATATGAATTAAACTGACTGTAAATATCACTATTGTAGCTTTTATGCATAAGGGCACTTGATGATGTGTTTTTGGTCACATTCACTCTAGGCATCATATGACATCTACTCTGGCATGGTATTACTGAGAGAGGTTTGAGTTGCCTAATTTGTGTTGGTTTTTGGTGGTTTGTTTGGTTTTTGTTGTTGCTTTTTGGTTGGTTTTGTTCAGTTTGGGGGGTTTTCTTTGGTAACATTTTCATGAGGTCACTTGGTCTGTTCAACCTAGAGAAGAGCTCATTGCAGTCTAAAACCTCCTTGTGAGGGGAAGAGGAGGGGCAGGCTCTGATGTCTTCTCTGTGGTGACCAGTGACAGGACTCGAGGGAACAGCCTGAAGTTGTGTCAGGAGAGGTTTAGGTTGGATATCAGGGAAAGGTTCTTCACCCAGTGGGTGACTGGGTGGTTGGGCACTGGGATGGGTTCCCACACAGAAGTGGTCACAGCACTAAGCCTGACAGAGTTCAAGAAGAGTTTGGACAATGCTCTCAGGCATGTGGTGTGATTCACGGGGATGGTGCTGTGCAGGGTCAGGAACTGGACTCAGTGATCCGTGTGGATTCCTTCCAATTATTCTGTGATTCTATGGCACTAAAAGCCAAAGTCTATGGTGGAGTAGAGAAGCTTGAATATTTGTTTTTTGTTGGCCTGTAGTATTTGACCAAGAAACCAAAATGTTCTTTGCAATTGTCCATTGTCCAGGTGTGCCATGGAACTCTTGTTCCACATGGCTGTGGTTGGTGAATTGTGCCCAACTATTTTCTCCATGTGTATACAATTGTTTGGAAATGAATGCACAATCGTGGAGTTATTAATGAACCAGATGTTGAACTTATTTTCACAATCTATCATAATACACGTTGTCTTTTAACTTGCAAGCAGATGTAGACACTGACTTTTGAACCTGAGCTCCTTTTTTTTGTGTTTTCTATTTGATTTCTGTACCTTTTCTTGTTGCAGAGTTTGCAAGAATACTGATTTGCATGTAATGAAAGGTTTTCTTGTTCCAAGTCCATTAACTGTTTGACCTTTAGGTGTTTTCATAAAACTCATTAGCATGTTCTTCTTCATTGCATCTTGGAAGTACATCCAATTAACATGTAAATTAAACTAGCCCTCGATGCACCATAATTGTTATTAAAATCCCTCCTCTGGCCCATATATTTATTTAGTGAATATGTAGGATCTAAGTCTTGTCCAGTCTTAGCAGGCTGTGTTCATTTGTTTGTTTGTTGTGTAATCGTGTAAATGCTTAATGCATGCTGGGCTTCCTGGGTAAGAATCCCTTTCTTCTGTCTCCATTGTGTCTCCAGAGACAGTGGGAGCTTTACTAATTGACTTCAGTGAGCCAGGATCTCACCTTTTCCATTCAAATGGATAATGGGCATTTTAAATGGCAAGGGGGGAGAGGCTGAGGTGATGGTTGTGGGGTGAGGGTTGTTCAGATTGACACTTCCTCCAAATTATCATTCAGATCACAGCTCTCGGAAACATGCTGTCTCATGCAGCCCTGTGCATATGAATGCAGGCAATAGTGCAAGCTTAGGAAGTGGGAGCTTAAGAGAGATTTAAATATCACTGTAGTGGAAACTCAGGCTGCACACTGGTATTACCCTGGCTCAGTTGGATTTAGTCAATGGCCATGAACTCACAAGATGCATTACACATGATCACGTATTCATCAGTCCCTGTTTCTTTTCTAATTATAAGGGCTTTGTCCTGAATAGCAATGTCCTCCTTGGTGTTCTGAGCTGAACGCTGAAGTGCTGAGCACTTTCTGGCCTTTGCTGAGGAAAATTAGGATTGACATTGACTCCTGCTCGATTTGGATCAAGCCACTGAACCTCACCTGCAAATTTGCTGTTGCAGAAAAAGAAGAAAAGAATTATTCTACCATAGCAGATTACTGCTTTGGGGAAGGAACTTACTGTCATAAATGACTAGGATTTCCACTTATGAATTTCAAAGCAAAGATGGTTTCTTGTGTCTCCATTTGGATCGCTATTTGGAAATATTTCATTTCTGCATTAAACATCTCACCTGAAGGAGGACTTGTCAGTCTGAACCATTATTTTTCCCAACTATATTAGTTTCTTTTATTTAAGATCCTTCTCCATACAATCCATGATTCTTTTATATTCTTAGAACTCAGCAATCCTACCATGACTGGATTTGATTTGACATGAAATTATAGCAGTGGATACAAAGTTAATTCAAAATGTAAAGAAAGAAATTTGCAAAGAGAAGTAAAATAAGTGATCTTTTGTCTCAGGAATTTTACCTAGCTTTACCAAAGGTGAAGGGGTTGCAGTGGTTTATTTAACTGCATTTTTGGTAAAATCTAGTCTATTATAGTGTTAGAGCAATATTTAGTATCATACCCACTTTTTCAATTGAATCTGAAGGAATAAATGGAAATACAGCCTTACATGGTCTCATCTCAAAGAATTTCTGTGGTATTTTCTTAGCTATTTCACTAAAATGTGGCTACTTCAGTTTTTTCTCTCCAGCCTTCAGCTATGTCCTAGCAATGATATGTCTTAGCCACACTCCAGCAAACGCTATTACAGGTCAATGGCCATTTCCATTTCCAATAACACCTGCTTACCTAGAGCCTTCAGCTTTGAGGACTGTGTACGTGCAGCTGTGGGTTAACCTACATCCCCAAATATCTGTACAACCCCAAGCCTGAGGCTCTGCTGTCCTCAGTGAAAGGAGTACTAATGATCCTGGGTAGTTGGTAGGCTGAAAAGCCACAAGAAATGTGTGTTACTTATCAGACTAACAAGTATGCAAGCACTTGCTTTAAGAAGTGGGAAGATAGCATTTGCTTTGCAGATACATTTGCTGACTTTTTGCATTGCTTTTGGGTCCCAGAGAATTGAAACCAGAGAGCAATTAGTAATTGGGATACTAAAGCCAGAGGATTTGCAATTCTGCTTTAAATGTTGCACAAAGAGGTTCTTACCTTACCAGAGCATCACCTAGGGAAGTCAGTCTTGGGATGAACCCTCACAGTGACTGACTGCAAAGGAGAGACAGCAAAGAGTTACAGTGTATAATGTATGGCTCTCTGACTTCTAAAATCCAAATGCAGAGAGTGTTGGCTGGGAAACATCACAGTAGCAGCACTGGTGGAAGTTTTAGTACTGCCAGTACTCACATTATTGATCGTGAAATCTAGATCATCTCATTAGAACTTCATTTTAATCAGTGCAAGGACATCAGCACAAGAGATTGTGTAATTTCATGGCAAATGAAGCACAGCGGGTAACAAGAAAAATTATTTTGATTTACTGATGAAAGAAATATGAAGTTTCCATTAAATGTGCTCTCGTGATAAGCTTTTCTGTGGAGGAGCCTTGTAAGCCACTCCCAGGATGTTGAGAGATGAGCTTTTCTGTATCATTCTGGTCTTAAACATACTCTGCTCAAGACAGCTAATCCTTTCCACCTCTAATAATTTTTGAGGGAGATATAAAATGAGCATCAGCTGTTTTCATGAGCTTTCAGATCATTCCTGCTAGCTGCAGTTTGCTTCTTTTACTTACTAGATTTGGTGAGAAATTGCCTCAGAAAGAGTAAAATTTTTTAAAAGTAATGGCTTAAGAACTTTATGTGTAGTATCTAGTGAAAATAAGCTCCCTCTACTGATTTGTAGTGAATAATCCCAGTTGTTGTATAAATTGATGACCTGAGCCTGAATGAGAAACTGAATTTAAACCTTTTGTTTCCTTCGCTTAATGGAAGTGAACACCCAATATCTCTGTAAGGATACCTACAGGAGAGCTTTACTTGGTACCTACGTGTGGAGATGTCAGGGTGCTTGCTCTGCAGCATCTGGGCTATGGGCTCTTTTGTTTTGTGCTGGTTAGGCTGCAGAGAGCTGCCTGGCATCATGATAGTGGTGCCTGAGTGTGGGAGGCATTACACAAGTGTGCACTTAGGGGTGTAGTCTGTGCCACAGAGAGGCTTACAGTCCAATTATGCAAATGTGGAGACAGAAGGAGAGGCTGCAGGCTACACAGTACCTTAGATAATGCACTAAAGCTGAGGTTGAACCCCAAAGCACTCACCCAGTCCACAGGGCCTTCCTTGCTATAGGCTTTCAGTTTAATTAAAGTCACTGGAAGAAAAATGAGCAATTGTTTGGTTATTTTTCACTTTCCATGGGTTCTTAGGGAGTTGTTCTCATTTAATCTGTGTGATATCAATAAAACATATAGACTGTGGTGTTGAATTTTACCCAAACGCACCACAACATTAGACTAACCCTGTTTCATCAAATGGTATCACTAAGATAAAGAGCAAAGTTTCTCCTGCTGTCTTCATTTTCTACCTTAGCACATTTGCTTGTTGTTGTTCAGTGTAGGACAAGGAGATTTTCCAGGCTTTTCTAATGACAGAATCTGTCCCAGGTCTTTGCACTGATTATTATTTTGTCTTTGCAGCACATGATTGCAGATACTGTTCGGTCATTGAGACATTGCAGAAATAACCAATTTGGTGAGTAGACAAAATTTCCTACTTATTTTGCCTTTGTACATCTTCGAGGGTTTGTTGAGTTTTTGGTTTGGTTTTTTTCCCACCCATTTTCTTTCCAATTGCTCAGATTTACTACAGAATGTGGTCAAAAACTGTTCAACTAATGGGCAAGAGAAGGCATCATTTTTGAAAGATCAACACAGCAAAAACCACAGTTGAAGGAAGCGTTAGTTTACAAAATGTTTCTAGGAACAGCTTCCAAATTGTAGTAAATTACTTTCCTGCAAAAACTGCCATTTCTTCAAAACCTTGTGTAAGATCTGTGCCAGCTACACTTAGTAATGGAGGCCTCTGGTGTATGCTGCTGTTTCTGCCTTTCCCAGCTATAAATGAGTTAGCTCAGTCTCCTGCCAGTCTGAGTGTTTTGGTAAGGAATTCACAGCTGCCTTGGCTTCCAGCAGCTAAAAGATGGTGCTCATCCCCGCAGCTTTTCACTCAGCTCTTCACCAAGAGCAATTGTTTGTTTATCTGGGCTTCCTAAGGACATTTCACAAAACTGTAGAAATCTTGAAGGTATGAGGATCCTGTGGGTTTCCTGAAAATGGTTGAGTAGGGAGAAATGAGGGGGTCGTTTCCTCTTCTAGGGGAAGCTGAAAATATAGCTGTGCCTGCTTTAGACACTGGAGGATCTATGCTGGAGGCAAGGATTGCGAGTGCCTCAGCTGCACAGAGGACTTGTTTTTGCTTGCTTTTTTAAAAATTTTTTTGTTGTTATTTCCGCCTTATTAGCCACTAGAGAATCCAACCCTAAGGGACCATGCCAGAAAACTTCAGCTCTCTGTGTTCTGCTGCTTACAGAGGAGAAACCTTGCTTTTCTCCTTCTCAGTGTTCTTATTCTCTGCAAAGATGTTAAATACAGGAAGGGGATAGAAGAACTACTTTAGGAAGCAGTTAGTTTTTAAGCCAAACCCACTAAACATGTCATTTATTGAGGCCACAAAAACCTCTTTTTCAAAGAGAAGTTCAGACCTGTGCTGCAGCCTTGGGGAAAATAGAGTTGAATAATAACTTTTTTCCATTGACTTTTCAGCAGCTGTCAGCCTTGACTCCAACAAAAAGAATAACAATCATAATTTTAATTATAAATACGTTACCTTGGGGAATAATAGGTACTTTTAAGAGTTTTGTTAAACATTTCCTCCATAGGATTACCATATATATATACACAGCATTACCTTTAAACAAAGGCTGCTCAGTATTATGGCTTGAGTAATTTTTCTAAAAAAAAAAAAAAAATATATATATATATATATAAATATATATAAACATATGTAAGAGAAGAAGGGGTGGGGGGGAAGGAGCAAGATGTGCCTTCTTTTAATTCAGATGCTGAAGGAAATATTGATTAATCCAAACCACACCTCTCCTCTGTAAACGAAAATGTTTGGCATTATGAAAAGTAACATTGTTTCCTTTCAGTGATGTGAGGGGCTTTTGCACTTTCCCTGCATATCTTTCATCTCGTTTTTGCCCTTTTTATTTTTCCAAGTGATTTTGTAAGTCTTGCAGCATAAATCCAAGGTTAATACCTGAGATTTAACATATAATCTGGTAGTTTGAAGTAGGCAATTGTTATTTCATTTTAGCACAGACTTGATTTATTGTGAAGGTAGCAGTTAAAAAGCAGCTTATACAGACATCCCTGTAGGCACTTTTTTTTCCCCTAAAATTCGTTTAGGCATGAAATGAATTCACTGAATATTTATTGAGACTTTATGGACAGTTTCATTTTCTAGTGGGCTTATTTTGCTCTCAGGAATGTGAATCTTTCTACTGCATCAATTCCCAGATTGGCCTAAGAGCAGCAGGCATCTCACTGTAGGAAGAAATTCAAACAAAACTAAGCAAGAAATATTATTATTGTTTATGAACTGTATAATGTATATTAAGCTTGCAAGCCAAAGTGTTTCTGGATTAGAAACTGGTTAGGTTCCAAGTAAAACTGAAGTGCGTTTTTAAAGGAAATAACATTTATATCCTAAATCTTGAAAACAAATAATGGCATTTCCAAAATGAGGAAGAGCAGCCTGAGAAAACAACATAATTCAAGCTTTTGTCATTTGAGGTGTTAATGAGAAATACAAATGTTTTTCATTATGCTCAGCACAGCTGCTGGGATCCTGTTCCCTCAGAACAAAAAGGTCAGCTCTGTATCCTGACACAAATTTATCACATTATCCTGTTCTCTCCAACGCTGCTCAAGTTAGATAGCTGCTCTGCAAGAGCTCTTTGAAACAGCTGCCCAGGAGTCACATTAGCAGCCCCATGCAGAACTGGCTGCATTCACATCCCGTGTTACCCACTCAGCATCACAGAGATGTCTTCAGAAACAAGTGGGATTGGTGATTAGTGGAAACTTGCTCATACAGCTGGAGAGTGGGCAGAAAAGGATGATAATGAAACAAAGGAGAGGAAGAAGTGTGTGAGTTAAGCTGATAGGTTCAGGGAATTTTGAAGGGGTTTTTTTTTCAGTTTATGGTAATATCAAGGACATGGACATGAATGGAGCTTTCCAACTTTGCTTGTCTCTCAGAAGTCAGCAATGTTGCTTTCTCTGCCTGTCTTGATGGATCTTGGGCTTGGCTTCTTTATTTTTTCTGTCTCTGCTAGTACCAGTCATGCTGGATGGTTTCACGGGCAGGGAGTTCCACAAGCCAATTCTGAGCATAAAGCTTGTAACAGAGAACAACTGCTATTCAGGCCACCCTTCAGTTTGCCTGTTACACATATAATTCCTCTTGCTGCATAAACTCCCATGAAATGACAGCATGACTTTTGTCTCTGTTACTAGATCAGAAATCAAAAGCCTAACACATCAAAACACAGGGGTCTGTCAGAGCAGCTTTGAAGAGCTTTTGTATCCATATGCTCTGCTGTCACCTTTCACCAGCTCTGAAGAAAATAATCCAGGGCCTGCTGTCTTGTGGACTGTGTTAAAATTTTTAAAAAGTTGCAGGCTGGGTTGCCCACCCCTGCTCAAGGTCCCATTGTGCTGCCAGAGCAGCACAAAGGAAACCTTGAGCCACCCTTACAGGAGATGGACTGCCTGTACTGCCAGCAGAACTAAATCTTCCTCTTGGGAAGAGTCAGCTGCTTGCCGTCTCATGTCCCCCTTGTTTATGCATGCTGGCTGCCCGGAATTGCCTATTTCTTTTTTTCTTCTCCCCTTTTCTCTATCTAGCTGCTACCTCATTCATTGCACTCAAACAGCAAGTCCTTTGGATTACTGGCTGTCTTTCCCGTGGCTGTCTAGCACCTGGCAGGTGGCACAGCAGTGACTTTGTGACACAGGACCGAGAAGCAGCAGGCAAGGCACAGCTACCTGATCCATCCCCTTTCTCCTGTCTTGCAGGCAATGAAGTTCCTTCGAAAGAGCATCACGAGCTGAAGCCATACGTGCACCACCTGCATGTCATCGACAACCAGCAGGCTCTGTTTGAGCTCTCTCACAGGATAGAGCCGCGAGTGTGAGCGTCCACAGCTTCCTATCACCTTGTAACTGCAGCACTTTGAATTAAGTGAATGTTTATGCCAAGCATGTTGCTTCCCTGTATGAGAACGGTTTACTGAGTTTTATCAGTAGCTCACACAACATGCGCAGGAAAATCAGGCAAGAGCCAGCAAAGGAGCTGCTCGCAGATCTGCAGGGCAAGCTTGGCACCGTTCCCACTGCTCCTGAGACCTGAGACAGTGGAGCAGTGTCCTTTGAGCTCAGGAGCTTGGTTTCTGTGAAAATATTGTTTGGTCCAGTGTAGCTTTCAATGCAGATTCTGCCAGTATTAGAAAGAAAGGAATCATCATGTCACAGCAGCAAAACATTTCAGCAAGCAACATGCCGCAAGGGGGTTGATTCCCAGTTCACCACAGTATGTACCTCACTAATTCAAGGCTGCCAAAGTATTGTTGCCAAAAATAACGTGCAATCTGTGCAGCTCCCATGAGTCCACTGGAGCACAGTATTTGAAATGTGTGAGCAACCTAGAAGAGGAATATAACAAGGCAGTGCAACCAGATGAAGCTCAAGAGTGTGTTGTGATGTGAAGGTCAGCAGTAAACAGTTCACTCTGTTATGGCTCCTTTAAGAATATGCTTTATAAAACACACTCTAAGAGCCAGTCCACTTCTGCTGCAATTTATGGACACAATTGTTTATATACTGAAAACATGTTGTTTTCTTCCTTTTCAGTTATCTCAGATTTAGCACTGGCTCCTGCAGTTAATGTGTTATAAATTATTATAGCAGGAACTTTGTTTTCTGCTTGAATAACTGCCTCTGGTATCTATTCAGAGGCAAATGCCTAGATCCATCTACATTTCTAATTCCCTTCACTGGAAATACCATTTCAAGAAGTAAAACTTCACCTAACTTGCACATGCTTCTAGTTTTTAAAGAGCAGAAAGGTGCCCCTTACAGGATTCCAGTGTAATTAATTACCTGCATACACACCAGGCTCTCGGCATCAGGGTCCCTTTACTGCTTTTGTCCCCTTCACAGCCCTCCCCATGACGATTCTCATGTAGTTAAAAGTACTGCATCTAGGCCTGTGCTGAGGCAGCATTTCTAAAGTAATGTCTACAGCTGACCTGCATCTTGAGCACCACCATCAGCTGGTTTCCAGTGCTAAGTTGCCCTGAGATGATCTAGTGAATGCCACAGGTGATGTGCAGAGGGTGCTCTTGGCATGTGTTTGTGCACTGACTCACAGTGATGGTCCTTTCACAGAGCAGGGAGGATACATTGCATTGCTTGGCCATCTCTGTTGTATGTTTTCCATGTGAGGAAGACTTCCAAGAAAATGCTTCTTTACTAAAATATGGGAATACTGAAGTAGCATGCTCTTCATAATTGTGTTATCTCTGGTCTAAAGGGATTAAAAAAAAAAAAACAGCTTTAACAAGTAGTCTGTGGGGGAATCTGTAGAATGCATTCAGTTTTCCCATCTGTGAAATATTGTATAGCTCTATTGTAAAGGAAACAGATGTTTCGGAAATGTATTTGCTTGTACTTTGTTATTATCAAATACTATATGATTTTTTTTATGAAAAAAAATTCTTTTTACCCAGTAAAAAGAAAAAAATAAACTCTTGCTGGCCATGGAGTAAAAATTTCCTATGTTCTTCTGTAGATGTGACTGCACATATTGTAAATAACTCTTTTGTGCAAACAGACCAAAACTGTTCAAATGAATATACTAGCTGTGGTGGACTCCTTTCTGCAGTGTAAGAACAAAAACCAGATGCAATTTGTTGCTTGTGTTTTTGCAGTTCTTCCTAGGGCTACAGCACTTAGAATTCTCAACATAGCTGCATTACCTGGATGCTTTCATGGGTTTTGAGCTCCCTCTTGTGAATTATTCTTTTTTTACTGTGGCATTATTTTTAGGAACCTGTATGTAGATCAGCCTGCATGCTTCAGCTTGTGTGGTGTAACACTCTAGTCCACAAAGTTGTTCTGGAAATCTGTGGGAGAGGGAGCATTCAGAGGTATTCAGGGTGAGAAGGTGGGGCTGTTTCTCAGTTCACTGCATTTAACTCTGATAGTTTTGGTGGCTACCGTGGTTGAAGCAGCAGCTGTGTTGGGGAAGAATAAAGGACATGGAAAGGAAAAAAAAAAAACAAAGAAAAAGAAGAAAGATTACTGTGTGCCCAGGGTTTGATTTGAAAGCCTGATAGACCTACCTGGAACACTCCTCACTCTCCCAACTCAAAATGAAGTCAAGTGATGGGTTAACTCATACCAATAGGCTTTGAGCCAGCAGAGGTGTTGGCTTCCTGCACCTCTGTAATTTCACATTAAATCAGGTGTTGCCTACCACTCGCAGCTGGCATAAAATCAGTCTGAAGGCACACAGCCAGTATTAACCTTGTTATCTGTGCTGTGACTAATTAGACAACTAGTCACAGCTTTGCAAACTAGTTTTTATAGTGGCCTGTATAACTTGGATTTAAGTTTCAGGTGTGAGGATCCAACACAGCTGCATCAATTTAATCTTGAGAACTGGGCCTTAGAACTGTTACTATAAAGGAAAAGTAAATAGCCCAAACCTGTAGTTAAAATGCCCAATTTTAAAAAGGCCCTTCTATGTCTTCATTCCACAGGTAGGAATTGCAGAGCTTTACTGCAGACTGGCAAGCAGTTTGAAGATGTGGAAGTTAGGAGAAAACTAGAAGTGAACCCTGTATTAGGGAAGGGCAATACTATACAGCCTCTCCCAGAGCCAGCACTGGTGATATTGTGTGAGTTTTTACATCCTTCAATAGTGCAATTAGGTTATGTGGTATAAAATCTATAAATTTTGTAAATTCCATTTATCACAATCACATCTGGGGTTAAATACTCTGCATACTTTTTTTAGTACCTAAGAGGTGTAAAATAGAAGAAAGGAAAGAGCTGTGTCACTTTAGCCTCTTTGATGTGGGATTTTATGGCAACAAATTTCGATGTTTCTCTAACACAGCTTTTTGATTCCAACATCATCTTGAATAGCAATAAATTTCTTTCGCACAGCAGTGGCAATAGAAAGGGTATTATCAGAAATAAGACCTGTGCTGCTGTAAAATTACAAAGAAAGATGTAAATACTAAACATTTTAGCAGAGTAATATTTATTTGCCTAGCCTATTTATTGTCATCTTATACGCTGTTAAACACTGGGATGAAGTCAGTGAGTTGAGGTAAGAACACCTGCCTGTTCTCTCTTGAGTGCCATAACAGTGTCAGCTTGCATTAAAAGTAATAAAATAGAAACCCCCAAATCAAGGTATTTACCTAACTTCTCAGGGACTACAGCTAGTAGTTATCCACCATCATGAGACCTGGTATGTATGAGATAATCTGATTTACCAGAATCAATGTTGCCAATGTTTTCCTTTGCATATTTCATGCTTGTTTGCCTCTGTACATATTTGTGTGTCGTGTATTTATGAGCGCTAGTAAGCAATAATTTATATGTCAAAATGGCCAAGCAATACAAGGTTAAAACTTGTAGAAGCAACTGTTATGTTTATCTTGCATTTTCCAGTGTTTTTTAATATTGCTTTTCAAAATATAAAAACTACCTTAATGAAGTCTGGAGTCTGTGCCTTTATGCCCGCCATACATACTTCTTGTTCCTATGTGGAATATTTTACTTCCAGTCCTTCAGTTCCACAAACCCTCACTGCATTTATGACATGGATGCAGACTCGCACAGAGGCTTGGGAGCCTGACCCCTTTCAGAGCTGTTCATCTTCTGGTCAGTGGTACTTGCTGGTAGCAATGTTTCAAAGCAGGAATGATGTTAATGGGGTCTCAGCTGTGCCCTGTCATCACAGCACAGTCAAAGAGGGGCCTCGAGCCACCATGAGAAGTCCCTGTGGGAGAGGGGAGGAGTAAATCTATCTTCATATCCTCTGGAGTCTACTTATTGGCACTTGATCCTCTTACTGAGGACAGCAAATGCTTTTCCCTGTCATCAATCATCCCTGATGCTGCTGTTTCCTTCCTCTGGGCTGGTCTGCAGCAGGAAAGCAGAGCTCAGGATGAGCTGCAAGTGCCCTGTAAAGCAGCTGAGGCTTTCCACTTGCAAACCTCGGGAACCAGCAAGCCAAACCTGGCTATTTCAGGCAGAAATAACACTTGGTACTTACAACATGATGTCTGTTCAGAGTGCTTTACAAATAGGCAATACTTAATTAATTAATACGTAAGACTCTGAGTGTCTGCACCTTAAGTAATCTTAAGCCTGACCTTGAAAGTGTTTGTGCTACTGTTAGTATACAGATAGGGTGAATTCTAACCTTAATATTTAAAATAAGCCTGAATTGTTGATACTATGCCATAATAATGTTTAAAGATACATTACAGATAGACAAACTTTTCCAGATCCAGTTGCACAGTTTGAAGAATTTGTGGTTTCAGTGGTTTATCACTGTCCCTTCATTGGCTATCACTGCTCTCCACGGTGTAGCCCAGAAGACTGGCAGAGAACCTCCAAACTTGTTGCAGTAATTAAGCCACACTGGCTGCATGCAAGCAGCTGACTTTGCAGAAAGGGCTTTCCTTCCCTCCACTCCATTGCTGGGAGACTTTCACAAGAAGAGTGATGATATCTTTTAGATGATTTGCAAATGGCAGGGTGTGGAGCTGAGGACAGCTGCCTTACAGCTCCAGTTGTGCTGGAAGAGCCGCGAGAAGAGGCTGCTGGGCTGCAGACACGGCCTCTTGAGAACATCTTGCTAAACTGTTCAAATAAGGGCTTTTCTATCCCTCTCCAACAAAAAGAGCTTGACTGGTGAAAGCCTGCAGTTTAAGCTGCTTAAGGGACTCTGTGAATGTTAACTGGAGTAATCAGAGGGGTCTGTGAAGAGCCATTCCTACAGGAGCTGTAGGAATATTTGCTGTTTCACATCCCAGCAGACTTTCATGCCAACCAGAGCCTCTGCCCTGGAGTCCTGCTGTCTTCTGCCGTGGGATGGCAACTGAGATACAACAGCAAAACTCAAAGAAGGTAAGTCTTCCAGCTCTACAATGTCCACCATTTCACACAGGAGACTTGTGGGATGGCACCTTACACTCATGGGTACAGTAATACTGTGAAATGCTTGTAGTTGTATCAGAGTTAAAAGAATTGAGCAGTGTAGTTAAAGTCTGGAGGACTGAGGAAGCCTGTAAAGATGGGCCAAACAAAAAATTGTTGAAAGAGAAGGGTTCTGCATTCCCTCTCGTCTGGAAGAAGGTCTGCTGATGGCCCTGAGATGACCTAAGTTAGTTAGAGCATGGTGCTAACAATGCTAAGGCTGTGGGTTTGATCCCAGTAGGGGCCATTCACCTAAGAGTTAAACTTTGATCATCCTTCTGGATCCCTTTTAACTCGGAATATTCTGTGATTTCATAAGACCCAAGTTAACACCCTTGAGCAGCATCTGCCGCAGAAAAGTATGACAGCATTACAGTCTGCATAATTTTAATTTTCACTGCCCATTGCAGTGGTAAGCAGTTGCAGCTGGTGGTCTCTCCAGGAGGTTTGTGCTACCACTTACACACAGAGATGCAAATCCATGCATTTAGGGAGCTGTCTGGACTTCAGCATGGCTTTTTCATGTGTTTCTTATGCCAGGGAGCGAAAGTGGCATTGGCAGGAAAATCCACAACACCAGAGGTTTATGTCCAAAAAGGAGACAGAGGAGTCCTGCAGCTTTATTCAAATAAAGGGAGGGAGTCCAGTGAGGCACATGACTACGGGGCTTTTTTTCAGGGTTTTGGAGGGCACAGCCTCCTTTTATCCTAAACTCCTGACCACACATTGCCCTCTTCCTTTCTCCACTGGCTGAGCTACCAGGAAGGTACAGCCTTCCCAAACCACCTACCACATATCCTCCCTTGAATCTATTTTACCCCTAAGTTCAGAAACTCGGGCTTGTGCAGACCCTTGTGCCTTCTGGGCTCTCCCATAGACCTGCTGCCCTAAGTTAGTAGAGACATTAAGACCCTTTTCAAAGACGCCAACACCCACACCTTCACCCCTCAAATTGTTTGTAAAGACATTACCTCTCCTCTCAGCATGATCTGGAAAACCTTGGAGAACTTCCTTTATGCTGAACACTGCTGCTGACCTTTTCCAAGTTCAGTTTCACCAGGGGAAATATCAGGGTTGAGGCAACCCTCCCCATTAAGAGAAACACAACCATCCTAGAGAACACAGGCAGCCAAAACCAAGGGAAAAACTCATTTTAGGGTTAGGAAAGAGCAGAGCCATTTGGGAAGTCACCCAGATGCAGCAGATGAGAAGGAAATAATAATAAAAAAAAATCTGTTTTTATTCTCTGCATGGGTCTGATTGATTGCTCTGGGATTTTTGGCTGGTGAAGTTATTACTTTGCAGGGAGAGGTGGATAGTGCTGGGTTTGCTTGCAAGCAGAGCTGATTCCTAATAAGAGGTCTTGTGTGGACTGCCTTCAGTGCTCTTTGCCATCCTAGTACCACTAGTTCCTATGCCTAAGGTTTCATCTTTCATCACTGTGGTGAGGAGTCAGAGTAGACCTGGGGGCGCTAAGGAATAGTGAATCAACATAGTTGAGAATAAAATTTGATTGGAAAACCAATCTTTACCCTTTAAGCTGAAAATGTGATTCAGTTGTATAAGTTTATAGATGTACACAGGCAAGACGTGCCTTTAAGCAGAATCATACGAGCTAAACCACACTGAAGGACAGTAACTGGGGTGGGCAGCCTGTCTTGAGTAGATAGGTCTTAAAAGATGGTTTGTGCAAGGAGATGGGCTATAAATTTCTTGGCCTTTCAAATAGATTTTCTTGCAGAAAGTTGTCAGGTCTTCTAAAACTTGCAGCATTTTTTTTCTGTTCTTCTGCTGTTGCTAACACAAATTCAAGACCTTTCCTGTCTGCAGCAGAGATAGAGTGACTGCTATTGCTTGAGATAAGATTATGAAGAAAAATAAAGGAAAAGAGAAGGCTTGCCTTTGTCCCAGCTGAGTGTGGGGCTACCTCTGTAGGAAATAACGTGAGTGCTACTTAGCAGGGAAAAATGGCACTGGCAGAACTTGTCTGTTTAACCTAAGTGGTGAAGTGTCCCTTGAGACAGGTACTGCCAGCTGTGACAGATGTCTTGAAAGCCAAGGGCTGCAGATTGCTGGAAGGGAATTTACTAGCAAATGTAAACAGGGATCTTTCAGACCTAGAAATGAGAAAGGAATATGAGGATCAAGCCCCAAATCAAGCACCTCTTTGGTAAGTTCTGGAGACTCCTGTCAAATGTTTGTGAGAGCTCTCTGGAACGCTAGTCAGAGGTTTTGTTGCTTCATGAGCAATGAAGCTGTTACTGAGGCCACTGGGCTTGCCCCCAGCCAAGCGTGGCTGTTGGTGGGGGTGACTGTGGTACACTCAAGTGTCTGCTGAGAAAGTCAGCTCGGCAGCTCCAGGTGACAATGCTGAGGCCACAAAGCCCTCAAAAGTTTAAAGTCTTCAAGTTATGTCAAGCAACTTGGCAAAACTTTAATCAAAACAAAGCTAGCTACTGTCTATCTCCCTCTCATTCAGAAAGACTGTGTGAAATCAAGTTGAACTTCTATTCATTTCTACTGGCTTTTAAAAACTCAGGATACCCAAATGTCTGCTGTCAGACGGAGTCTCTGACAACACTACAAAATAGAACATGGTCTCTATCCAATCTGAAATACTTTAAAGTAGCAAATAACCCTGAACAACTTTATCTGCTACTGATGCTGAGCTTCATACACAGCCAATCCCCCTCATCATGGTGCAGTGCCAGAAGAGGACCAGGCAGGGCTGCTGGGTGCCCTGTCACACTCACAGTGATGAAAATTGTTGTGGCTGACACCAGCTGCCAGCACTGAATTTGGCTCAAGTCTACAGCTACATGCTCCAGCTTCAGGGCACACTGTTGGTTGGAGGCCACTTTTTAAGTCCAAATAAGTGATGGTGTAATAGTAGGAACTAGAAGAGGGGCATGAGACAGGATGTAGAGGAACTGAACAAGTCCAGCACAGCAGAGGTAGAAGAGGGGAGTATTGTTAAGGGAAAATAACATGCAAATCTCAAGAAAACTCACACATGTCTGAAATTCATTTAGACCCTTGTTTGCTGCTTAGTTGATAAGGTTTACCTCATTTTAAGTAATGTAATTCACTTTGCTTTTAAATTGGAGTTTCTGCTGAAGAGTATAAAGTAGTTTAGTCAATCAAATTTAATTCTGTGCATTTTGCAAACTTGATTGATTCCTCAGAGCAATTTATGTGACTCCAGGGAACTTGGTCCAGCTTTGTAAACATGCATATGAGGAAAGACTTCAGCTTAATGTTAAGATTTTTGGAGGACATTGAGAGATAGTAGTGTGGTGAAGGCTGGTATAATTTCCCAGAAGTAACCAGACAAGAAACTAGAAACTACTGGAGCCACATGTTACTGTAAGACAGGGCTCTTATTGGAGGCATCTCTGAAAGGAGTACATCAGCATCCTGACCATGCAAAGAGTTTGGTTGACTTGTGGTTGGCTGGTGTCAGCCAGAACAAACTTTTCCTGCAGTTAACCTTCTTTGAACAGGATCTTC